ACTTTCTTTGATTTCATGTTTGTGTGCCCTTGACTCTTGTGGGAAATAAAAAAAAAAATGAATACACCCCAGTACTAAACTAACCTATTGTATTCACTGCTCTGGACGTCAAAGCTGCACCTCAGTCTTTGTTGCTGCTGCTCTCCATTTCCATTCATCTGCATGCCCCATCTTCATTGTTTCCATACAAGCCCTTATTTGACCTCCCTTTGCATTTTCTTTTTACTATAGAGAGAAACAACTTTGCCAGGAGTGATTCTTTAAATAGAAATCAAAAATAAGCAAAACAACATCAGTCTGAAGGAGCCGAGCTTATAGTATCAGCCCCTTTGTATATAATATCAGTTATCACAATAAAACCCAGATGCCATTCATGTTTTTTCTGATTAAAGTATGTGAAACATGAAAGTTTTCTTAGGGGGGAAACTCTTTTTCCTGTAATGATATTCAATGTTTTTTGTTTTGATGTCTTCTGAATCTGTCAGAGTGATGTCTTGTTTATTCTCTGGATTTAACCTTGATTATTAACAATAGAAACCTTGAAACCTTTAACAGAAACCTAAATAAATTGAAATACTTACTAATATACTCATCCATGTTTTGTTAAAAAGAATTATGCAATTACCAACTAAACAAATAAGTCCAACATGTGCGTGACAATTAAGCAAGAATGGAATTTGTTCAAGCAAGGAAAAGACAGCCCTGTACCATCTGGTGGCACGGGATCTCTATTGTCCATCCCTCACACGAGGACACGAAACATCCACAACTGCATCATCTTCTTTTATGTGTCTTAAAAACTCTTGATGATGTGGGTATCACAAGTTTCCATCCGCACCATGATCAGCCATTCACATTATTATAATGAAGACGTCAAACAACCCCCCCAACTTTATCTCACCGTCATTCCTTCACTGATACAGTGCTGCTCAAATTCAGATTCATATACAGATAGATATCTAGTCGCTTAATATACAAGGTAAATACTAGCTTTCTGAAGTGGTGGACTTGTTGTAATGTCGGTCAACCCACATTACAACCGGTGCATGTATTAACAGTTTAAAAATTAAGAAAATACAAAGACAGCCAGGATTTTGTTGAACCCAAATCACTGTATGTAACTTATGCATCCCCACACACATACATAGTGTAATTTAGTAATGATAGATTCATCTTCATATCGTGAAATCACAATTTGACAGGGAACAAATATCATTCCGATGCAAATTAGGCAGAATCCCTGTAAGAATTAGATTGTTTTCGGGTGTGAATAAAGATTGATATTGAAAAACATTCATGCATCCCAATAATGTTGTAAAATGATAACTCAATAAGCATGTAGTCAAACTAAACCATTACGTTACATTTTAGTGTAGTGGCATATATCCACTATGAGACAAAACACCAGCCCAAAATATCTGCATCAGTGTCTACCTGGCAAACATACAGGTTCCATCAGATACCTATTCAGACTGTGTGATCAAACACTTCATGCAAGCCACTGATCACTGAATGGGCCACCATACAGCTGGGGAGCGTTCAAAGACTCTGAGGTAGGTAGGCAAGTGAGGTATGCTGGCTCCTGCCGTTTCCCTTCTTCAAACACCCAAACAAACATTAATCTGCACACACACAAGCAGCACATTCCTTCTATGACATTAGCGCTACCGAAAAAAGGTGCTCAGGTGTTTTCCCTTTGTAGTTTTACAAACACTAAGAAAGAGACAGAAAGTGAGTGAGGCAGAAAAAGAAAGGGATCTGATGTTTTCCTTTTTCGTCCTCGGCCGTGAAACCTCATCCCCCTTTCATTCCCTCCTTCATTGTGTCAGTCGCTCTTTTGTGTGTGTTCCTATGAGGCCCCCCTCGACACTGAAGAGGTCATCCAGTTGATACCTGAATCCCATTGAAGACACTTTTCTCCAAAACACACACACACTATCCTCTGTCTCTCATCTTCTCCCTTTCTACTTTGTTCTTTTAGTCACCTCTCTGTCACCCTAACACAGATACACAGGTCACACCACAAAAAGATACCAGAGAAAACGTGTCAGAAAACACTTACATCACCATTGAGAGGGGTGAGGGAGGAAAGAAGAGTGGGAGTGAGGGAACAGACATCAATCTGTGTCTTTTTCCTCTTGTTCCTGCCTCTTGTTTGCATGAATCCTCTCCTTCACCCCTGAATTACACTGTGGTTTTGAAGAGAGCTCTTGTTGATTATAATTTTATCAATACAGATAACTTTAAACTCACGAACAATTTACAATCCACATCCCAAGAGCTCATAGAAAGCTCTGGAGATTAAATTGGTCTAGTATTGTTGGGCCACCACGAGCCGCCAAAGTAGCCTCAACACAACTTGGCATTGATTCGACAAGTCTCAACAAGGATCAACACCTTTCCTCTAAAATACATTTGGTGTTTTGATGAAGGTGCAGAGCACTGTCACTCTAAAATCTCCCATAGGTTGGTTTGAGATCTGGTGACTGCAAAGGACATAGCATGAGTCATCATTTTCTTACTAAACCATTTTGTGCACCCTCATGAAAACTTGTTTCGCTTCAAATTTTTCCATCAAATTGTTACCCATCTATATTTTAGTATTGTTGGTAAGGCCTTGGTTTTAAAGTAGGAATACATACAAGACAGGGGAGGAGTGATACAGGGTACTCTGTGGTAGTAGTAATAATAATGCAGATGTTATTAGCAAAAATATGTTAGAAGCAGCAGAGCAGTTATAGTTGTTTGTAGTTGTCTTACTAAAGTTGTATGTACTTGATTTAAAGATGAGTTCCAAAATGTTCCAGCAGTGTTTTATTAAGAAACCTTCTAAACAGATCCTCCAGGAACCTTTTTATTTTAGGGTGCACTGTCCTAGAATGCCCTGCTACAAATGTAAAAGCAATCTGTTGCCAAGTCCATACACTGAACATGTAGGATTAGACTTAATCCACAGACAGTTAAAAATGTCCATAAAAAGGCTTGAATGTAAACATTAAGGGCCCCATTCTACACCAGGCGCAAAGCTGTCTTTAGAGTTTCAGATAATTCATTTTCCCCTTCACTGTCCACTTTGTTTAACTACGGGCATGTTGCTCTCTTAAAAAATGGAGGTTTGGTCAGGCACTTTCTAGATGTATTGCACTCTTGAGGCAGCAAAATATGATTGTACAAATTCCTTTCTGAAGCCAGGAGCAGATTGTTATTTACTGTACGATGTAAAAGAAAGTAGCATGTACATACATAGGAGGGTGCAGAGGTGTTCTGTCTTACTACCAGTCAAATCTAGCATTAAAATATTAATTTGCCAAGGTGAAAGCACATCTGGGGCAATGGGGCATGTTCTGGTTTGGTGAATAATATGCCCTGAACGCACTAATGATAGAGACTTTGGAACCCTGCCTCTGGTGCAGAGACCTTCTCTCCACTGTTAAACCAGCAAAAAGAGATTTGGGCAGACACGTAGACCATATTCTTACATTGTTAGAATAGAGGCTTATGTGTACATCTGAACTGAAAATAAAGTATCTTACGACACAAAGTATGGCCCTTGCTAGAATGAAGGCAGACACTGGAACATCAATGAGTATATGCCAGTCTGTGTATATAGGAATAAATCCACAAGTACGCAACTTTGCGGTACTTTTGCATCAAATCATCCAAGATCAATAAACACTCAAACAGACCAATGAGACGGGTTGTTTAACAATATCAACAAAAAGGTACTAGACCATGGCAGCTTTTACTGAACCACCATTTCTGCACAAAGTTTAAACACACAAACACACAACCCCCCTTGCTGAGAAAGAGCTATTCAAACTACCACCCTATAGATGATGCATTTTACAACCCGACAGGCCCAATTACACACAGTGGGGACTTGGCAAAGTTAGTGAAGGTTTGACCCCAAACTCAGACTAAGCTGTGGCTGTCTATGTTGCCTTGTGGATAAATTTAAAACCTTTACACAATAAATAGAAAAAGGAAATATGTTTTCTCACAATAAACATAAAACAAAGGAAACCGACAAACACCACCACATAGGCCAGTCAAATTGGCCTTGTTACTGTTTTGCTTAGTCAGCATACAGGACACCTTCAGTACCTACCTAATACAAAAGCCGCTAGTTTGCAACGTTAGCCTTTTTTCTTTCCCACTATAGGTTCACTATCTTGATGGCAAGGTCAAGGAGGTCCCTGTAATTAATGTTAGCTAAGTAGCTAACCACTGTAGTTATTCATTCGACCTAACACAAATCTCTCTCATACTGGAGGACATCAGTGTTTAAGCATATCAGCGACAGTGAGGCTATATTAGCTTCAAAGACGTTCAGTGCAATTCCCCCCTTAATTTGCATATAGTGGGTTTCCGAACAATTCAGTGCAAATACGTTTTGCATTTCTCTTTTGCCCCAACAACTCTCGCCTGGCCACAAGACAACAACAAACTGATGTGAAGTGGTCTGGGAAGATGTTTCAATGAGCGTTGTGATGCCTTTGCTTTAATGACACACTCGCTCTCACTCACACACAGACCCACACAGAAAAAACACTCTAAATGATTCCCTGCCTCACTTCAGAGAAATTCTGATCCCCTCACTTCTTACCAATACATTAACCACCCCCTCACCTCTTTTAACCGTATTCTCTCATTCATCCCTCCTAACTTCAACAATTTACATCCAGAGTTTGGGAAGCAGCTGGACAATAAAAGCAGCTTAAAAGGACACACTCCCACCATGTTTATGTTAGCCAGCCCTGAGCAGCAATGAAACAGTAAAGAGGCCAGTTGTGTTGCTCGCTGGTCAGGTTAGTGGGTCTACATTTATCTCTGGCTGTCACAGTCAAAACGACTTCAGGACAGTCAGGGCCAGACATTGAGAATGTTTGTGTGTGTGTCCTCAGGACGATGTATCCAAGACGTCTGGGTCTGGGGGTTTTAAGGCTTCTCCAAACAAACTGTTAAGACGAACAGATTAGACATTAAGGAAAGGAACTTACCCGGGGATCAAGGATGAAAGATATCTCTTGTTTAGAGGTCCATAGTTTTTAAACCACAGACTGATGACACACCATCTCTCCACCTGTAGATATAATAAGACTGGTGCTGTAGTGATGGATTAAGATGGTGGACACAGCCTACACATTTCATCCTTAGAATCTTTACTCAACAGATAATGGTGGATTACGGAAAGGGACACACACTTTTACTTATTTTCTGTCATAAATACACAGTATAATGTCTCAACATTAGATTTCCATATTAAACATGGCTTAGTGGCAGGGATAAGTTTCACTTAACAAGTTAAAAAGAAATCCCTGCAAGACAAATGTCCAGGTGCTCTGAACACTACTTCTAAAATACTTCTCGTTGCAGATTTTGTTTATACAATCACCCACTCATGATCCTAGAAGAACTCAATATACTGCAGCATACAAATAAACAATTCTTTGCATTTTAGTTACAATTAAACATCAGAGGAATCATTAGTGGAGTACCTGAGTCATTTGGTCTGCAGCCAAAGAATGTTACAATGTCAGATGTTATGGGAGGATCATAAAATCAGTTTAAATTCATTCACTAAAGCCATTTTTGGCACACAGAGTGATTATATAAAATAATGTACTTGGACATAGGGGTCTGGAATTATTGGTAGTTTACCGTGAAAAACAACCTGTGTTGTGTCATGAAATATTGAAATGACAATGGTGTAAAAGGATGTGACAATGCACCCAGACCCAGAAAAACCCTGAAATATGCTTGTTTGAACCAGAGGCTAAACTGAGGGGCTGCACAGCAGACACAAACATAAGAAATGACTTTATGTGACCTGTAAATCATGCAAAGCTCCTCTGGTGGAAAAATAGAACTGGAATGAGGACAACAGGTCAACCTTCATAACAGTAAAGCATATTATAGATGCAAGACGGCTTTAGTTTTTGGAAAATGCAATACGGTATGTCCATATTAGGCAGGAGAAGTCTACTGTAACACACACTCAAGATAACACTAAAGCATACAGACAAAGCAAAGATGAATAGTTGCAGTGTACATACATACCTGTATTTAAACAAGTCTGAGAAAGAAAGCAAACAAGTTTTACAGTGCTAATACCAAGACCTCACATTTAGCCTAAATAAACTGCCAACAGTGGATGAACTGTACTAAGCTTAAATTATAGGGGTTATTAATCCTTTTTAATATGTATGATAATTAAATCAATATGGCATCTTTAAGCTCATGATATAATGTGCTTGGTGTTGTAACATTACAGATGTTTAATTTCTTTACATCTAACAAGTTTAGCCTGATGCCTTTCAAACTATATTGTGTGCATATTTTTTGAGTTGAGAATAAATACAATGAGCAATGAGCTTTAATGAGCCACTGCTGTGAGGGTACGAGAACAGATTTGTCTGATTTGGGACCATGGTTAAACATGTCTAATAGGACCTCCTGTGGTGAGTCCGGCTGTATATATCCAAAGTGCACGTGAGCAGAGCAGCAGAGATAAGGTACATAGTTGATGTTTATCCTGACAACTGGTTGGAAGGCATGTTAAACACATGTTGTTCCTGGTATAAAGATTTGTTGGGGAAGTTTCATCTCATACTAAAGCCACATTCTCTGGCCTGATTTTGACACACAAGCCAAATCTACATCATCTGTGATGGGGGAGCATCTACACATCTCTCCAATCACACATGGTTTCTGTAAGGCTTTCAGCGAGGATTACTTCATGTACACAAGGACATGTGCGCTCCCTTTCAACTGTGGGTTTGTCGCAGAGATGGTTTTAAGTGCTGCTGGGAAGCGCGCTGCACATACTCCAGAACCAGCCCTGACTTAAATAGTCCTGGTTGAACCAACAGTGCTGGGAAAACAGCTTGGTTCCTACTGTGGTGGGTGAGGGAAGATGTTGCTGTAGCAAGTGGCGTGTGGTTTCAGGGGATTTAGCAGCACGTTCTGTTAAGACAACGCACGAGGAAACATTTTTATGTGAATTCAGAAAGTGTACACGGGTAATATTTTGTGTGTGGACTAGCATACAACAAGATTACCACATCAGGGATTAGACAGTAGAAAATGTTTATAGAGAACTTCCATCAGGAATTGCAGGAAATAAAATATAGTGACAAAATAATAACCCACTTGTTATGTAGCATCAGATCACCAAAGCTACACAGACAAAGTACAAATTCTACACAATTGATTCTCCAAAATCCTGTGTTAGAAGACTCCCATTGGAATTGTATGCAGCCAAGTCACAGAACACTTAACAGAAGGGAACTGGTGTAATTTGGGGGAAGCAGTAGTAAACAGTAGAACGAGCATAATGAGAAGTAGTGAAGCACAGTAACAGTTTAAAATGCTGCTTCTGTGTTCAGCTGATATTATTATCAACACAACTCACCAGCAGCAGTACTGACAGTGAGCAGTCTGAAGACT